TAATAATAATAATAATAATAATAATAATCCAACTACTATGATATCCAATATTGTTTTCAAGAATATCTCAACAAAGAAATCCAGAACTTCAAGGACGCCGCAAAGCAGTTTGAAGACATCATCATCAACACAAGCAAAACAGATTATCTGAATATTCGTCTGATAAACAGTCGTTTGACGGCGTTAGAGAAATCGTTCATTGATGACGGAGATACGCCAATAATGAGTGACATCACCATTCGAAGGTAAACCCAGATAGCCCAACACTCGTACACGAATAAACGAGTGTCAATGTTTTTCATGTCGTTTTTGAATCGCTATTGAGTTGTTGTCCGTCGACGCACAAACGCCATGAATTATTTCAACTTTGTCGGTCCGTGATCTGAAATGGGCGACCAGAAACTAAAAATCATTCTCGTTGTTTTATGTGGCTAAAATACGAAAAATCACATTTCTAACTGAAAGGTCATATCTCATATACCAAACTAAAAGAAAACTTTGAAGATTGCCTTGTTCGGCTGTGAATATATCAAAATTTGAAGCTTGTCCCTTGGCCTCAGATTGATTCAGATTTCAGATCTCCAACCGACAACGTTTTTCAAAGTAGGTGTATATACTTATTCCAATAAAGTTAGTCACCAAAAACCTAGAAAGCTGTGATCGTTGAGAATCATGGGGAAATGTTTTATATCCAACAAGTAAAGCTTTTGACACAAACTGCAGCAGTTGAGGATGCTCAGAGGAGGTGAACTTGTAACTGGTAGAAGATCTCAAGTCCATCAACAGTTATCAAGCGGTTGAAACAGGTAAAATGTATCTACCCATAATCCTTGACGGTCTAAGCTTTGTAGCTTTTCTGGTGACTAACTTTATTGAAATAAGTGTGTATAAAGAATCATAAATGCCGATCGATGGCTATTGAACATGCCTAGCTGACTTACGTCAACATTTTAACACCTCTATAGTTAATCAGAAAAAAAACACGCGTTAGCTACTTTCCAGCTCCCATTTTCCCGCCAATTATTTTGGACATGCGCATTAGGTTCCTGTAATGTTCCTCACTCATACCTGAATGTTTTCTGTTTACCAGACACGTTCTGTTGAGCAGCCCAAGAACAAGCGGAGCTTACAAATTACCTGGGATACGACAAGCCATACGACGAGCTCGGCGCGGCGAAGCTACCTGGGATGACGTCAAAAAACAAATATCAATAGTTGTTTATGCAATCCAATCTGCAATTAAATTATTAAGATTAAGTCCTATCTAGACTGATGGGGGAGGGGAGGGGAGATAATTTGTTCCAGGGGGTGCGGGTATACACCCTCTAAAGACGAGCCTTGGGTTATTTATACTGTTCTGCGAATTCTAAGCTTTTTCCCCCCTTTTATTGCTGTAGAGCTGATTTCACATGAGTGGAAGAGAAACTAAAAATGCCGTTACGTTAGAATAGGTTCCATTTGAGAACCAATCACATTGCTAGCCTCTAGCAATCCTTCACGACAACCCGACATATGCCAAATATTAAGTTCTAACACCTGTATTAAAACTTATTTTGAAATTCGAAATAAAATTGGGAAAAAAATATCATTTTTAAATCGTTAGTTGTAGAGGGTTGGGAGCGTACAATAGAGAGTTTTAGATTGACTTTTTTTTCTCCCCGCAAACGGCAAACGTGACCACGTTTTCATAGTTTTCCTTTATTTTACTTTACCTTTTACAAACCTTATTACCAAGCGCAAATACCCTTTTGTTTTTCTACTACTTGGACTTTTTTGCGATTCTTTTTCAGTAATTTAAAAGAATTTTTTACTGGTACACTGACGTTTCACGTTTGCCGTGAACGTAAATCTAAAACTCTCTAATCTCAGCACAACCCACTTAATGAATCGTAAAAGGTATTTTTGAAGCTTACTATTATATATTTTACAATCACACCTCCCCATACAGCGCTCTACCGTGAGGTTCCCTCCACACGCACTACATTCTATATCATTGTCGCAAAATGAATCATTAAATTGAAGATGGATTTGTATGGACGCTCCTCTTGATTTCACTGACTGGATTGAAATTGCGCGAGCAAACCTCATTGAAAAAGCAAGCTTCCAAATTTACCAACTTTGCATATATTGCTCACTTAGTTCTAATTTAAGCAAACATCCTTCAAAGCTCCCAAAAAATTAAAAACAAAAAACGAAAAAAAGGTCTCAAAAACTTACAGAAGAATAATTATCATAGTTGGACTGAGCATGTTACGATAAGTTTAGCTGTGACCTTTGAAATTAAGTAAGTTTAAATTATCTATATGAAGTGAATACCAAAGAGGGTAGGTACTGCACATGTCAATTGGATGTCAAATTTGCGGTAAAAAAAACATCCCACACGGAAAGAAGTTGGTATGCGTTCAAAGCCATCAGCGTCACGATCAAAACTTGGAGTATGCTGGTCATAGCAAGGGGTTAATCATCTACGGTCTAGGGGTCGACTAACCTCTCCCTTAGGCTTCGGCCGAGCTTCCTGATCAGTCTGTAAATCTCCGGATAGCGGTGTCGGGGTCGAAATCTCCGGCGTAGCCGTAAATGCTTCTCGCTGCCATACGACGGTTCAGCACTCGATGTCTGCAAGTATGGTCCTAAAATAATTTATCAAGGAAAAATAAAAAAATATTCAAACACGCCTGGTGGATGTACGTTTACCATCAAAAACAGACGCCAAGAACATGGATCCACCCCGTGAGAGAGCCGTTCCCTTACTTTGATCAGCGGAGAGGTTGTTTCAGGGTTTTATATTTAATGTCATCATAACAGAATTAAAGAGGAATTCCTGAACCCGGATCTCTATCTTACACAAGATAAATAGATAACAGTCAAGTCAATCAATTATATTGGTCAATCAGTGTTTTAATCAATTTCTTTTGTAGATGCTTGCCTGTGATAACAAGCTTGATTTATATTTTGTCTATAAAGTAGTGTTTTCACTCTATTAATCAACAATTTGCTGGTTCATTGGTGAAGGAAATTGTGCAGTCATTCACACTGTGCTACATGGCCCTTACTCACATGGCAGCCATATTTATTCTCACGTGAATAAAAAAAACTGTTTAACTCCTATAACTTTATCCTCAAGCACATGAATACAAGGCTACGTGTGGGAAAACTATTGTTCCAGTCAACATGGCTGCCTAGTGAGTAAGGCCCATGATAAAATACAAAAACTCACATTTTGAAAATATCTTACAGATTATTTGGATATTGTGACTTAATTATTTTCAAACTACAAATAATAAATAATAATTATTGATTCCTACAAATAAAGGCTGTGCACCATTATGCGATGGCAGCCATGACAGAAGGCAGGAACAATGTTTTTTTTCTCCTGGAAAACTGAATTATTTCTCATTTAAAACATATTAGACCAGATTCAATAATTGTTCTTCCTCCTGTCATGGCTGCCATCACCTTGATGGTGCTAAGCCTATACTAAGATATCACATTCTTTAAAAAAAATTCCTATTAATAATTTACAAAACATCAAATTAATTTTCAAACCATGAAATTTGTTGAAGACATTCGTAACTCATAAACTAACCATTTACAATTTGCATTTTGATGGAACATTATCAAAATATTCTCACCAGCTGTTTGATTTTCTATCTACANTTGCGCTGGAACCCCCATTCCCTATACTACTAGACCCCTCCACATAAGAACCTGTTAAGCTACGATTTTAAGAAAGGTTCTTGTCAGTGGAGTTGCTGTAAAAGTGTATGGGTAGAAACTGCTATAAGTTTGTTTGAGCATGTGTTTTGTGTAGAACATACTGCTCTGCACTAGGCTACGGGTTGCCTGTGCTTGGAATCACAACGCCTTCTTTGGTATTTTTCAAGATGGCCGACCTCTTGTTTCCAGGCCCTTACATAGTCAAACGAGCGTTAAATTCCCCGCTCGATTCCCCGCTGAGAAAACCATTCGCTAAATCCCCGAACCCCGGGTGCAATCATGCTCTTAAAAGCACATCAAAAACGCGTCACGTCCCCGTTCAGTGCCCCACTAGCCGCGGGGGGCGGGGGTTTCAATTGACTAGTGCATTAAACGCATCCTTACCAAATCAAACATAAACTCCTTATTTGCTGTTCATCAAAGATGTCCAATGAATTAATATTCGAAGAAATTCAGGTTTTTCCCAATTTTTACCATTTACATRCCAGCTATAATTATAGTTAAATAAAATAAATACGGTTTTGGGTGTACATTTCGGCCCCCAGGGAAGGACTATTCGTAATTAAGTTATGCCCTTTACCCAGGGKCTTTGAATAGTTTTTGTTTGTCACGAAAAACAATTCCCCGGGGGTGCCCCGGGGGTCGACCCACAGGGAAGCAAATGATAAGTGCATAACGCTTCGAACGGCAAAGATCAAACCCTACGTATGGGAAAAACTATTGTTCCAGTCAACATGGCTGCCACATGACCAAGGCCCATAATCAAATTTAAAAACTCAAAAATTTTAAAATATTTTGCTGATCATTTGGATTTTGTGGCTTAATTATTTTCAAACAACAAATAACAATTATTGACTCACACAAATAGAGACCATGCATTATAATGTGATGGCAGCCATGACAGGAGGCAGGAACAATGTTTTTTCTCTCCTGGAAAACTAAATTCTTTCTCATGTAAATCAAACTAGACCAGATTCAATAATAATTCTTGCCTTCTGTTATGGTTGCCATCACTTGATGATGCAAAGCCTCGATACTAAAAAGATATCAAACCCTTTGAGAAGAAATTCTATTAATAATTTACAAGACATCAAATTAATTTTCAAACCATGAACTTTGTTGAAGGCATTTGTAACTCATAAACTAACCATTAACAATTTCAATTTTGATGAAACATTATCAAAATATTCTTACCAGCTGTTTGATTTTCTATCTACATATTTTTTAATCAGTCAGAAAAAAACTACAAGTCTAACACAAAACGTTTCTGAAATAGTTTTACCGCGATTCCCAGTCACACACGACCAACTGAGGCCTAAATCACAAACGAAAAATTGAGTTTTGGTGGACATCAATCAAATGGGTTTCATAAACATTTCTAAGGATTCCGACTCCGAATTTCAAATGCTTAATGCTTATCGGTATTGACTTATCTGATCTTGAAGAAACTCGAATCATAGTCATAGCGATAGATTTGCAGTCAAGCGTCTAAATTTTGGTCTAAATTTGGATACAAACATCTTTTMTTCATCATGCCTTATATGGTGTGTTTGTACCCAAGCTAGACCACAATGCATCATGTTCATTGAATGCAGAAAAAGCTTATTTTAATTTAAAGGTTCTGTTTACTGAATATTGGGGTTTCCTCAAAATTCTCCTCCAGGAAACTGTACTTCAAATACTTCTGGGTGGTGTCTATGAAAATCTCTCAGCAATCGTTCCTTTGTCTTGACGGACATAGTAAGGTCATCCACAATGCAGTTCATTAGATTATTCAAACTTTCTTTCGTCATGTTTTCTTTCTGTTGCTCATATTTGATGAGAGACACTCTTCTGCAGGCTGATACTGCTGTGATAGGATTATCTACGCCTTGTTGAAATGATAGCAGGTGACGRTTGACTTCTAGTTTGATGTTTGATGTAACGTGAAACAGCTTTTCATGTTCTGACATCATCACTAATAGAAGTGACTCTGTCATCTCCTAATAATAACAATAATAATAATAATAATTTATTAACTTACTATAGCGTCTTTTAACATTAAAATGATCAAAAGTGCTTTATGCAAACAATCAATAGAGAATGATAAATATGACATGACAAAGGGCTATGATTTTGATTTCGTTGGATTAAATATGATGATGATGATGATGACACCAATAAAATATAATTATCAGTTAGACGACATAAAAGCGCGCGCCCATGGCCATATAGACGCACGAGAGAAAATATAAAGAACGATTAACAAGCGAAAGAGTGGCACGAGGCGAAGCCGAGCGCTATATTGACGCCATCGGGTTTGAAAATTTAGAGAAAAAAGGCGAGCGTCCATTGAGATCAGCGTGCGCGAGCGTGCAGCCCATGGGGAAATAGTTCATTGGTTTTTGGCCAATCAGAGTGCGTGTAATAATCTAGTCATATTATAAAAGATGATGATGATGACAATGACAACAGAAACGCTAATAATAGTAATAATGATKATTATTATTATGAAGTACTTACTATCTGATGCAAAATCTAATCTACTCACATGATCTTGAACTGATGATGGAAGCATTCCATTTGCAAAAATCCTACACAAATATTTCTTCCTTTGTTCTGCTGATATTCTGGCTTGGGAGATCAAACTCTTTTGAAAGAAATTGAGCAGCCTTTTCAAATGCTCTTTCCTGTCCTCAGGMATCAACAGAATCAACAGCCTCAGTGCATTGATCACAACTTTCTTTCTCGTCTTCATGAGCTGCATAATTCCTTCRAGAAGACTAACAAACTTTGCCGGAATAAGTGAATCAGTCAATGATCTATAGAATTTAGCCAAGGAATTTGAAATCCCTGCTTCTGTGATAACCACCTTGTTATGGAACTCAAACCCTGATTCTTGTGCTAAGGGATAATCTTGCAATGCATTAAAACATTCTATGGCAGCTTGTTTCCAAATGCTGTCCCGTCCTCGCCTTCCACCTCTCAGTTCACAAGATGAATCCATACTTGAAGAGGAATCATTTAAAGACTTTACRAGTCTGTCGTAAGGATTATTAGCTAATTCTATCTCACCTAAGAAGTGATYTGAGTCAGATGGAATAAGAATATCTTCAAGGTAGAATACATCTACTAACTTGAGTAAACTGGACAAAGTTACCTCAAGCCAGATGTTCCTGTAGATATTTGGTGGATAAASAATTTCTTCTACTTGTGAAACAACCTTTGACTTCCTGGAAAAGTAAACAACATCCAAATTATTGCCATTTTCATAAACATGCRAACTCRGTAGCTGCAAGCTGCACACTGAAATGTGGTTTTTCACTGCAGCCAGTCAAAAATATGAAAGGTATTGACTGATTATTTTTTGATTGACAAACCAAATTTCAAAATCAGGTAGTAAARAATAGAAAAGGCCTAGGGCAAATGTCAAACTTTCCATGCACCRAACTTRATTACATCAAAGAATGCCGCCYCATTATCACCTGATATSCATTGTTTTTAAYGAGTTCGGTGCATGGAAAGTTTGACGTTTGCCCTACAGTAGGCCTAAGAATGTGAAAAGAAATAAGCTATCCATTGGAAGAGCTGTAGTATTCATTCCAGACTACGCCACATGTGACCCAGTGTGGTGGATCTGTAATTTAGTCTGTATGATAGGTACTAATGAACCATGAATCAGACACTGTTCCTTACTTGTTATGGTTAGTAAAGCTCCTTCGTCTTATCTTCCTCGGTGTCTCTACTAACGCATTTAGATAATCYCCTCCTTTAAAGCCACTTGAACCTCCAAAACTCTTCCTCCTTTTACGCCTAGCTTCCTTATCATTCTGATCATTATCGGCCATATTTTCCTTCGATGATGAATCAAGTTCTTCAGTGTTTGAAAACGTAGCAACCGACCTTCTCTTCGAAGATCGCTTATGCACATTCCACCTATCAAGACTCAGCCTTTTCTTCTTCTTTTCCGTTTTTTCACAATTCTTATTTGATTCTACAGTTCGTTCTTGGTTTTCAACAAACCTGTACAAGTGGTTTCCATTTCGCTCGAACGATTCCTTTTTCCCTTCGTTGTTAACGTTCAAAGTAATAACGCTTTCGATGATGCGAGACTCCAGTAAAAACTGACCAAGAGACTTCACTTGGACTTTAGACGGATCACTCACGAGTTCAGGATGGTTAAGCACGTAGTTTTGTAGCTCTTCTACGACCTCACTTCCTTTAAAACAGTTCTCAAACGTTTGTAGTTTCCATCTTCTTTTCCTTGGTTCCAAGTTCGACTTCAAGTTTTCAACAAGATCGTTCCAAATTTTCGTAGCTTTGAAGGGCTCAGACGCACTGAAACTCATCATRGAGGTAGTTTTAGTTCAAAGAAACGTCAGAGTTTAAGAAAAGGCCCCATAGCTAAATAGTTTGATCGAAAATGTGGAGTGAAAGACGAGTATTACGAGAAGAGACTCGTAAAGTTCAAATCAACCGCCATTTTTGAATTTTATTGGACGCGAAGGAGACTAAGGCGACTAGAACCAGTCTTCCCATTTTATTTATAAACACAGGAAACCCATTAACGATTAGGTCTGGAAAACTTGAGAGATTTACTTCGTACTGAACCGAACTGAGTTTTATATGCTTCCCGGTACCCCCTCCTAAATAAATTAGTATCGCGAACATCCCTTATGCTTCCCACACCATTCCTCATTCTGAGGAGAATATATAGCCTGGCAAGGAGCGCGTTGCGACCGCTAGTTTACACTGTGGTGTTGCGGGTTGGTGGAGTGTCGTTCGGGAGCCTTCCAAACCCCTATGAGTGATATTTCGTGTAATCTATTTTATTYATCGGAGATGGCATTACATGAGAGTAGTCTGAGAAAAGAGACTAAAGGTCATCTGGTGATGTCACGCTAGTTTCATGTCTTCAGAAAAGTTCACGGAACAAAGATGGCGACTGGTCGGTGTCCTCCTTCATCAGACGAGCAGTTCACTCGTGGCCGTTTCTCCGGYAAGGTTGCCATCGTTACCGGWGGTGCTTCGGGTATCGGTGAARCTACAGTCAGGAGATTCCTTAACGATGGAGCAGCWGTAGCAATCTTTGATATCAACGACAAACTGGGTAAAGAGTTGGAGACATCACTCAAGTCGTCAGGCCACGAGGTTGTGTTCTATTCTGTAGATGTGTCTGATAGAGATCAGTGTATTCAGGCAGTGGACCGTGTGGCCAGCGATCTTGGACGTGTGAATTGTCTTTGTAACAATGCGGCGTATTTTGGCGCCAAAGGTATTAATATAGCTATAGATTAAAATACAAACATGCTGCTCGAGCATTGATCCCGCATATGAGATGTCATGCCTTAATAAGCCCCTGGTCTTATCATTTAATTCCAGGTGTTGACGCACGTAAAGAAGACTGGGACAAGACAATGGCTGTCAATGTTCAAGGATACTCCAATATGGTCCAAGCATGTCTGCCACACATGAAAAAGAGTTAGTAGGAGCTATCGAGAGAGATAACTATATTCCTTGTCGATCATATATCTATTTTATCCCTGGACCCGTCCTAGAGTTGGGTGATGTGGAATCACTTATTTCATTGCTGTATCCAAGATATTTTCAATGCACAGATCTGACGGACATTTATCTTGTAACATCTTTTCTGCTTTTAGATGGTTCTGGCCATCGTGCTGTAGTTAATGTTGCAAGTATTTCCGCTTACGTAGCTCAACCTTTTCACTGGACGTACTCCTCAAGTAAAGGAGCAATAGTTTCACTAACGAAGTGTATGGCTTTGGACTTGGCTGTCGATGGGATACGCGTGAATTCTGTCAGTCCTGCTTGGACTTATACACCAGAGGTGAGACGCGCTGACATCCTAGCCAACAATACAGGCGCGTGGAGAGTGTGCGCGGTGGAGATGGAGGTTGGGGGTGGGGGAGGGGAATGGTCAAGGACAGCAACGTTAGT